TTACAATAAACTTTATGGTGTCAAATTCGTTGATTTATATGTAAGTTTTACGAATTTGCAAAATATTACTAATAATTCACAATAATTATTACTGCCATTCTTATTGCTATTATTAAAATTCAAGCCAAAAATGGCGAATGCAAACTACTAATTTATTTGCTTTACTTGGTAAGAGTGAGTTTTATCATTTCTCAAACAGCGAAAATTGTTAAACTAAAAATAAAATAAAAATTTTCTTCTTCTTGTAAAGAAAGGGAAAAATAAAAAAAGTTTTGCCGAAAGAAAGAATTTCGAATGATATATACAACTTTCGAGATTTTTGCAAAGGTAAAATATTTCAGGAGCAAATAGCTGAAGCTACCTTCTTTTTCAATGATGCCGAACCTCTCTTGGACTTTCCGAGACCTGTTTTACGTAAAGTGGTGGATGTTGGAGGCATTAATGTACCTGAAGTACAGCCATTAAATGAGGCTCGCTAAATTATGATTTTTCGCCATTTAATATAATTCTCCTGTGCAAGATTTTCTTTTATCCATAAGATTTTTTCAAGCGTGTTTGTCTAGGCCAAAGATGCATTTTTATGAAATGTTGTGGATTCTTTAAGGACTTAGAGCTGGTTCGATATAATGTAGAAAAGGTCAAAAGTGATCCTGGTGTCTTTCGGAAATGTTACGAACAATTCACTTAGACCCGAAGAAATGAAAAAATCCGAATACTTTCAAAAGTTTTGCTGATATAATATTCATATGGAAATATATATATCAACATCAAATAACGAACAATTACAATAATGTTTATACGAATAAATGGCTTCCACAAAATGATATTCTTGGTGAATTTAGATTTTGTTTCTGGGTTAATATTTCAGGGATTGAACAAAAATTGAATAGGTTAATATTTCAGGGATTGAAAATATTCGTGAAAGACCATGATGACCAAAGTTTCCACAAGGTGAATTATTTTTTTCATATTCAGCTCATTCGAATTTGGTTGCATTTATAACACATGGCGGGATGAATAGAATTTTAGAGGCAGTTAATCATGGTAAACCAATGATTGCGGTACCACTATTTGGTGATCAAAACCGCAATACGCAAGCCGTATAATGCGCAGAAATCGATGTAATTTTGCGCGTAGTGGATATTAAAACTTTAAAATTTAAGAACGCTATTAATGAAATATTGACAAATAAAATGTTGGTTTTCTAATTTATTTAATATTTTTTACTTATAATCTTGTTAATATTTCGTTAAATTAAATTTTCTATATGGCTTATGATTGGTTGCCATTTGTTAAATATCATAGGAATGTTAAAATGCAGTAAGCTGAATTGTAATTGCCATAGATGAATAGCATAGGGAGTCGTTTCATACGTAAATAGGTGAATCCTGAATCCTGGCCAATTTTTAAAGTACTTTACATTGTTAATATAGACATTAAGAAACTGAACATTTGCGTTGATTATCTGTTGAGATCCATAATCGAAAGTAATCCAGTTTCAATTTTCGTCGTGCTTTTATAAAAATTTTATTTTTTCAATAAGTTTTCACTTTTCTTTAATATTCCGACGCAATTTAAACTAAATTAAATATCCAAATATTTTGCAGATATGCGAAAAATGCGCTAATTAAGCACGTAGAATTTGCTGCAGAATTTGGAAAAATTCCAAATCTCGATGTAATTGGCAGGAAAATGTCATTTATCTCATACTTTTTGCTGGATATTATCTTTCCTTTTTTGCTAATTATTTTAGCAATTTTCATAATTTCACTTTATTCGCTAAAAAAACTTTTTGAAAAATTATACTCTAAGAAAAGCAAAAATAAAATTGAATAATCTCACAAAATTTATTAGTGGAATGAATATTGAAGATGAATAGGAATAGCTATTTCCACTATGCTATAAATTTCATCATCTATTTTTCATTTGAATTCTTGCGACCTCGCATTATTTCTTAATGTTGATAAGAAGATAATATTGATAAGATTTTCTTGACAATAATGTAAATGATCGAATAGATGGTAACTATTTTCGAAATTCTCCTAAAAGCAAAGATCAGTGTATTCAGTTGAGTGAGCTTGTTTTTGAGGCAGCAACAATGGTCCTTTTCTTAATCGCACCATTATTTTAATATTTATTGCATGAATTTGAAAAATTTGAAAAATAAGGGATTGAGAACTAATAAAAATTCGATGGAAATTGACTGGTTACAAAATTCAATATTTGAATACAATGGTTTTCCATCATAGAGATAGAGACGCACCAAATGACGACTTTTACCGATATCCCGAAAAAGTATAAAGCCCTATCAGTTCGGCGTGTTGGACTTTATGATTTATATTTAGCTAAATGCTTTGCCATAAAATTTCATAAAAATTTCCATAAAAATTCTATATCTCGCAATTATCACAAACTATGGAAAATTCTAAAAATACTAGTGGCAAATCTTTCAATTATTTTTCAACTCTTTATATGTTACAGAAATACAAACTGAAGCAGCATGCAGTTTAATCTGATGGTCTTTGAATGGTCGCTATTTCTGATCAGTTCTGATTGATTTAGCATGAATTCTCTTCTAATCAATCAAGTATCAGCATTTTAATCTACATTATCATGCCATTTCTAGTATATTTTCTTCGGTTTTTCGGAGTCAAGCAGTAACATCTGATAAGCCATTTTATAAGGGTTTCATATGAAAATCGTCGATTCGATTTCGTTTTTATTTGCTAATTTATTATTATCATTCTTATCTTAATATTTAGTACTTTTAGTAGTGACTAATTTTTTGTCTTTTCCAATTTTTTCCTGTCGATTGAATCATTTTCAGTAGTAATCTTATTTGAATATAAGTATGGCTGTTAGTGAAGTAACCAGAAAATTTCACATGAAATTTGACTTGAAAACTCGATTATTTATTGAATTTATATACGAATTTTTCCTTTTATTTTCCCTTCTTTCAACAGCCTATTGTTGATTTTATTGGTATCTAGGATAAGTCCCTTTATGTGATGCCATTTTTGAAGGAAATGAAGCCACTAGTCTATCGTCAACAGTCCAAGTTCACGCTGGTCCTCCTTCCTTTTGAACCTACAGGATTCAGCAAATAAGAGATAAGACATTAGTTCCTGGGGTGGACGACAAACAACGTAGCCCAAGCAGTGAAAGTGACGCTTTGCGACGATATTTTAATGTAATTGGTATTCGAGTAAAAATGAATGCAGCCATGTTCTTTCTCTCTTTGCGGTATATAGGATAAATCTTAGGCAACAGTAGTCAAAGGCAGATAATTTCCTAATAGTTTTCGCCCTCATTTCCCATGTTCTGGAACCGAGTAGCAGCTACTGCAACCAGATAGATGCAAAATAAAAAATACATAAAAAATACTTTGAGATTGATTTCGACAATTCCAAATAGGCTTCGTTTGTTCATTTGTTCGAATTGGGACTTCTTCTTTGGCTTAGCCATTAAGTATAAAAGTGGGCTAGAAATTTAAAGTTATTCTTCTTTTTAGGCCATTAGTTAATTTATTGAAATTCCATCCTGAAACTCCACGTAGATCTTGACCAAGGCCTTGCCGTAGGCATGACATCTATCCGATTTTTTTAACTGGGTTAGAGCAGTTTCCTCAAGATATTGCTATATCAAAAGTTCGCATATTTATCACATGTACCATCGAATTATCACGCGGTTTGAGACTTCTTCTACCCGTTCGTCGTAGAATCATTTGGAGATCCCCAAAAGTAAAATCAAAATGCTTCTGAAATCAACTTATAAAAAACCATATTTCATAACTACCAACCAGAAATAAAAAGGTCAAATATTGAATGATATGTCGTTTTGTAAGGACAATAGATCCGATTCTTGCCTTTTCATGAAGCAAGTGTCGTTAAAGTGGAATATTATTGAGGAGGGATTCTTGTTCGTGAATTTTATCCTCAAGTAACTCAACAATGTCGAAAAGCATCTGAATTTCGTAATCAGTGGAGCCAACCAGAAATGGTGAGTGGTGTAAAGATAAAAAAATGTAACCAAGAAATCACACTATTTCATCAATTTAATTCGAAATTAGCTTGCCTTACTGATAAAAATAAATGTAATAATTTAGATAACTTCGAGAAGAAATCAAATACGAGAAAGAATAAGGAAAAATTAGAAATTTATAATTTATAAATTTATTTATATAGAGCTTCAAATAAATTTCCAAACAAATTTTAGATTTTTATTCGTACAAATTCGCTTAATTATCATTGAGAAATATAATATAGTCGTATCATTTTTTTTCTAATAGCACTCATCATTCTAGGCTAGCTCTACTGGTTTGTCGGATCAGACAAATTTTCCAAGGTGAATTGCTTGGATCATATGGGTTTTTGAAGCTCTGATTTGTTCCTGTAAGGGGCAAAGAGTCCAAATATCGGCGATCTGGAATTACAGCAACCGAACCATTTCAGTGGTAATAATGGAGCTATCTAGGCACCTGGAAAAATCTATAAATAATTGCCATATTAAAGCAATAACAATGCAGTTCAAGCGTGCGAATTCTACTATTGTTATAAGTCTTCTTCTTCTTCTTAAGAGTCCTCACCATTACTGGTTAAACTCGCTCCACTGGCTTGCCGCATTGACCAATATGCCAGTGAGTCCCTTGGCGATAGAAGTACGGGTCAGTCGCCAGCATCACTCGGATTTTCTTACAAGTCTGCTCCTGCGGGGAATCGAACAGCAGCTTCGGCTGCTCCAAATTGAACAACAACTCACTGAGCCATCCTATCCTCATTGTTATAAGTGTTGTAATCTAAATGTGAGAAAATAATTATGGTTTGACCTGTCGGTGTATATTTGTTAATGCATATCAAGGTATTCTATTAGAATAACAGCTTGTAGGCCTACCCTTCCACAATTCTTTTTTGTGAGAAATCAGCACTTTTGGTTTTGAATTCAAACTACGCTGTTCTTAACATATAAAATATATATAAATATTAAAATATATACATATAAAATATATTTTTGTGAAAATTCATTTCTGCACTAATTTAGTTGTGCTTAATTCATATATTTTCAAATAAATAACAAATATATATTTATTATTTATTAATGTCACAGACACAGCCAGAACCTGCACTGTTATTCCTGTAATAGTAACAATCTGGATTGCAAAATTAAAGAATGCTGATAATAACCATATTAGTCGTTCAGATCTTTTCAGTTTTATCCCTCCACCATTTTCTAACACTTTTTTTGAAAAAACTTTTAAAAACTTTGATTTTTGGGATGAATTATGGTTTTAATGATTAATGATTAATGATTAAATGATTAAAATTCAATGAAAATTGAAATATTAATTTAAAATTTAATAATCATGAAAATATAATTTAACAAATAACTAATTCCGCAGATTCTTTGAATTTTGAATGGCTCGACAGTTCTGGGTTATTATATGTTTGAATATTCTGCTCTTTACTGAATGCTATAAGATTTTGGTCTTTTGCCCTCGATTTAGCCACAGCCACATAATGTTCTTAGGCAATTTAGCTGATACTCTCGTTGCCGCTGGTCATAATATTGTGAGTTTTCATTTATCACTTTTTTTCTAAAGATCTGTCGTGCTAAATACGATTTTATAAGATTTATGAAGACTAATAACAAGAAATATCTAACAATAACGACTCATTTTTGATGAGTAAACAACTATCAATCTCTTAATCCCTTCTTCAATAAAAAGTCTTCTGGTACTGAAACAATAATTGAACTATTGAAAACCATTGATTGCATACTCGCAAAGAAGGATTGGTTATAGTTTGCAAATTTCCCGAAAGTAAGATTTAAATTCCGCTCAATTCCGATAATGGATATCCTTATATGATTCATAAACAACACCTTAAAGTAAATAAAATTATTCACAGTTAATATTTTAATGAAAATTTAGACTATGTTCCTGCCAGAAATGGATCCTAATATAACAACTAATGGAACAAAAAAGGCACGGGTGATAACAATTCCTCCGAGTTCAAAGATGTCCAAATTCTTCCTGGATTCTAAATTCAAATCGATGCACTGGACACATGATTGCACCAATCCCTTCACAGTACTTCAAGTAATACTTTGGATATTAAATTAAAATCGCATTTCCATTATTTAAAATGAATATAATTAGTAACTGCATAGTTTTGATGAAATTTTGTTATATTCCATGGTTTTCTTCATGCCTTATATCATCTGCATTATCAGAATGCGCCAAGAAAAATATTTTAAATCTATTCCAGAAGGATTGGTGGGTTGGATTAAAATTATTTCTACTTCTAGCGAAGAAAACATCAAAATACATGCAGATGAAATTTCAAAATTTTTTCATGTGATAGTGAAAAGATGAGTGTTGTTTAATAAAGGCCAAATGTTATGGAATTGAATTCACATGGAACTGATCCAAAGGTAGCGAATAATACTATCGCAAGTTTGAGAAAAAAAGTCGAGTCATACATCTTTGCGGTTCATCCATATCGATCATCCGCGTTAAAACTTTGGATAATCAAACGAAATTTTCAAAAAATCAAAAAAAAATGTAACATTAACAAAGCATAAAAATTGATGAGAACGGCTGGAAAAATCGCCGAAAATATGAAAAAAAAGCGACATTATGCAAAAAAGTGGGTCATACTCGGTCATATTTAAGAAGGCAGAATAACCGAGTGGTTATTGCCCAGATTGTCATCTTGTACGGCAGAGTTTTTAACCTGAACAAAAACAAATAAACATGTCATCAAAAAATTTGTGTGACACTGGCATCTGTATTTTTATCGCCAAATGACTCCGTGACGCCAATTCTTATTAACGAATTTTTATTAATTCTTATTATCTTTTTTTATTTTCATCATTATATTTTATCATTTAAATACCTACTTGTATTGCTTAAATATTTTTCACTTAATTTTATTAATAATCAGTGGAAAATCTGCCACCGAGAATGATGACCGCATCACTTTTCACTGGCCTCTAACTGAGAAAAGAAAAAGAAAGTAAAATGGCTCGGTGGGTTATTGCTTAGTTTGGAGCATTGGTGATGAGGTTCTATTTCCAGCAAAAATGCTTAAAAATTCGAGTGATGCTGGCGACTCGCCTATTCTTCTATCGTTATTTGTCTAGTCCGAAAAGCCATCGCAGCGAGTCTAGCCAGTAATGGTGAGTACTCTTTAAAAAAACACCCAGTGCTATCTCTGCTTAATACTGAATATCAGTGCCAAAAATTTTCTTTTAAATTTATTTAAAAATTAGCGGACTGTAATTGTCGAAATTTCAGATGACCAAATTATTAGGTGATCTATTCAAAATTACTTGCGAGCATATAAATTCGTTCAAAGATGTACTTAATCAGCTTAAAAACGAGGATTTTGATCTTGCAATTACTGAAGTTTTCGATCCTTGTTCACTTGGTTTTAATTTAATTTATTTTGTGTCGCAACTAAATTTTTTTCTTATTTTTCATGCGTCTAAATTTATTCTAATTCAAAATTATGCACACGCAAAATGAATGGTCATCGATGCATCTTCGAGATGTGTTTTAGTTGAACATTTCTTCGAACCACCCGACGTCTCCACATGGATTTACGCTTTTCTTGTCTCAAATCGCTTGGCACTTAGAAAACCTTGTGTGACTTCACTTTAAACTAAGTGTCACCCCACTGCGCCTCAGTTCTGCTTTATTTTGCAAAGTGATTTTAGAAATTTCGCTTCAATAGGGCACTGATTTTCGGTTAATTTTATTCATTAATCAACATCTAATGATTGATCAAAGTGTAACCTAGAATTCATTATTACAGGGCTAATTAAGCTGTTCGAAATACCCACTCATGTAATCGTTAGTGCAACAGTAATTTTGGACGAAATAGCCAATACGATAGGAATGCCGTTACTTCCAAGTTATATACCAGGTATCCAAAAATTTCACTATATTCCTTTAAAAGTTGCCTTTTCAACATAAAAATTATCTGAATTATTTTAATAATGAGGCGATGTTTAATTAAAATAGCCAAATAGCCACACATATTGCTTGAAAATCTCATAAGAATTAGTGGAAATTAGGTTTCTTACCAAAAACTTAATTTTAGGCTTATTGACGAGTGCCGATTCGGAAGGACACATATCATATATTGGACGAATTCAGAATTTAATTTCATTGTTGATTTCGAGATATTTCACCTCAAGCATTGTTCATAAATTACAAAACATTTATGACAATCTTTACGGTTACGGCTTCGTTAATTTATATGTAATTTTTCCAAAATATTTGTCGTTAATGAAATACTGAAAATTGCCAAATATTACTAAAAATTAAACGTTTGAATATAAAGGAAAATAGTAATAATAATAATAGTAATTTATTTTTCAAACCAAAAGTTCCAATTAAAAATAAATTATTCGAGATGTTCGCACTTTTTTTTTGTATTTCAGGAACAAATAGCAGAAGCCACCTTCTTTTTCAACAATATTGAGCCTCTCCTAGATTTTCCGAGACCCATTTTGCATAAAGTATTAGATATTGGAGGTATTAACATACCTGAAGTACAACCATTAAATGAGGTTAGCTAAATTATAACATTTTTTGGCAGTAGATTTAATTCCACTGCGCAAAAAACTGTCATTTTATTAAGATGTAACGAAAAAATGTTCTCAATATAAATAAATATAAATAATAAATATAAATATATATAAAAATGTTCTCAATATAAATAAATATAAATATAATATATAGAAAAGCGTAATATATAATATAATATAAATAATGTTCTCTATCCTTTCGTTGCCCTTGAAATTTTGGCTAATTAAATCTTTATTCAACATATAAAAAGAAATAGAAAAAAACAGGAAACGGTGCTTTCGCCGTCCCTTTCTCTGGCGGTTTCTGCGCTCCACTGGTCCCCGAGATATATCGATTGTTTTTTGTTCATTTTTTGAGCACATAAGCTGATTTCATTGAAAAATGGAGTTCAAATTCCTTTTCCAAAGAATCACTGCAGTGCCGCTATTCATCGAAACAATTCATATTAATCAGCTCATTTAGCACTGGTCTGAAGTGATGCAAAAAAGATCAAAAGTGATATTGATGTCTTTCGGAAGTGCTGCGAATAGCTCTCTTATGCCGGAAGAAATGAAACAGTCAATCCTAAATACTTTAAAAAGTTTTCGTGATATAACCTTTATATGGAAATATGAAGTAGATGAACATCAGATAGCGAATAATTACCATAATATTTATACGAATAAATGGCTTCCACAAAATGATATTTTAGGTGAGTTTACACTTATTTACTTAATGCTGTAATGCTTCGGGAATTAAAGAAAATGATAAAAATTGACCGCGAAAGATAAGTGATTAAAATTTTCATAAGGCTGCGAATTATTTTTTTTATATTCAGCTCATCCAAATTTGGTTGCTTTTATAACACATGGCGGGATGAATAGCATTCTGGAAACTGTCAGTCATGGTAAGCCAATGATTGTAATACCACTTTTTGCCGAGCAAAAACGTAATGCTCAAATCATAATACGCGCGAAAATCGGTGCAGTTTTGCGCACAATGGATATAAGCACTCCAAAATTTAAGAATGCAATTGAAGAAGTACTGGCACATAAAAAGTTGGTTTTTTTTAAATTTGTTTAAATTTGTTTGTTCGACGCTTTGCAAATTTTTCGTTTTTCTTACATAAATTTGCCTCTCTGAGATTTCAAATTAGCATAGAAATTCATTAGCCAAATGGCCAATTGAAAATAATGAACCATGGCTAGTAGATGGTTCGGATTGTAAATGATCTGGTGGCCTAACTGTTAAATTTCCACATAGGTAATATTCAAGTTTTTTGATGTTGGAAATATCTTAATAAGTAAGATCAATTCTCATTTATTAGGCACTTTCGCCGATCATTAACATAAAAGAAATTTTGCCAGAGAATCAGAAATATAGATAAGTACAGATAATTTCCAGTATTACTCCAGTTTTTAAATTGCAACTGAGGCAGAATCTTGATGCTAGAGACAATAATCTGAACAAAAGTCATCACTTATCTTTTACAGAATTTTAGAATAATCAGATAAATGAGATAACCAAGTATATTTCATCTTTCTAAACTTTTTCTAAATTTAATTCTATTCTCATAAGTTTATACATTAAAACTTCTGATAAGTTTGCAGATACGCGGAAAATGCACAACATTTAGCCAAAATGATCAAAAAACGCCCAATTTCACCAAAAGAATTATTTATAAAACATGTAGAATTTGCTGCGGAGTTCGGCAAAATTCGGAATTTTGATATAGCCGGCCGGAAAATGTCATTTTTTTCTTACTTTTTGCTCGACATTATCGTTCCTTTCCTATTAATTATTGCAGGAATTGTAATAACTTCATTTTATTTGCTAAAAAAGCTTTTCGTAAAATTCTTTCATAAAAAAAGCAAAATTAAAAAACAATAAGTGGTAATACAATAATATTTCTTTACTTATTGATAAAATAATAAAAAATTTAATTACGAGGCAATTTTTCCTAACTTTTATAATATTTTTTATTTATTAACCTTGTTTTATTATTTTCCTTCCATTGCTTTCAAAAAACCATTTTCTGTTGATGGATTGCTTAAATAGGAGGCCGAAGACTTTATGCAACTGTGGTATTGCATAAATCCATCTTTATATTTATTTTTTGTATGCGCCTATTAATATTTAAAGGTTCACGATGGTAATAAATTTCAATAGTTATAATGACGGTCAAAAATCGCTATTTTTATAATAATTATACTAGCGAATTCATCAATGATTATTGTGCTCCAGGGAACATTTTAAGCTCATAGATTATCATCCACAACACTAAAGCGCGTTTGGATCCTCCATTTGTTAAGAATGAGCCTTCATTATAAATTCCGGGTGGTGTTGCGGATCCTCCTGCAGTTTTAGCTTCGTGATTTCTTGGCAAAAAATTCCCATCATATCTGAACGTTTGTAGTTCGCTTCAGTGATCAGTGAAAAAAATTTTAAAGTTTAAAAATAAAAGAACCTATATTTTCGAGTTTTTTTTTAAAGAGCCCACACGATTCCTGGTTAGATTCACTCTGCTGGCTTGTCACTGGACAAGTATACTAAGCAGTCCCTCGGCGATAGAAACACAGGTGAGTAGCCAATATCACGCTGATTTTTAGGCAAGTTTACTTCCTTACGGGGAGTAGAAACTTAGCATGGAATCGAGCAACAACCCACTAAGCCATTCTATATACTTTCCAAATACTTTCAAGTGGAATCATAGAAATGTAATCTCAAATATATCGAATATGTTTATTTTTTTATTTCTCAAAAATAATTATATAAACAAAACAAGTTAATTCGATGACATTTTAGCCCTGCTACATAATTTTAAAGCACAGGTATATTCATTAAATTATCATACATCAGTTGTTAATTATTTGAAATGATATGATCTGCTTTTATATGATCTATTTTCCTTCTTTCGTACATTCTAATTCAAAAGCTTTTGAATTTGTTTCGTGTCAAATTGATGTCCTTAAAATGAAGGAAGAAACAGACCATATTGATAGAAAAAGCAAGAAGCATTTGGATTGATTGTTTAGATAAGTTAATTTCTATTCTGAATAAAATATGTTGAAGAAAAATTAATTTGTGGGAATGGAAGTATAAGTGGTTCCCATTGGGATTTGGTTTCTAATGAGTGAAAAGACATGAACTATACTCTGCCATTTTTCATGTCCATTTGTGAAACAATAGCATAGTGCGACTTAATGGCTTGCAGCTAAAACTGAAATACGTACGATTAACCATTTAAAACTAGCGGATTAGACTCTATTCCATCATTCCATTTCTTTAGGCTATATAATCTATGTTTTAGATTTGAGAATCTATAAGGAACATAAAATAAATTCTCTAAGACTACCCCAATCATCAATTGCTAAATCTAAAACGCTTTCTTTATAATTATCTGGTTCACGTTCGATATAAAGTTTGATGATATTTTTCACGATTTCAAATTGTCGAGGCGGGTTGTTTCGATAGAGACCAATAACAATCCGAACCCGTCTTAACAACTTGCCAAGACCGATTTTCTGGCCTTGCGACCACGTCTTTGATGCTAAATTAAATTTGCAATTAACGTAACTATTATCCTCGATTAATTATCTGACTGAACTTGCCGGCGCTCAGCAAAAACAAGTGTTTTCTTCAGGATCAAAATATTTGAAAAATTTGGTATTATTTGGTAAATTTGGTATATATGAAGATGGTTGTCAAATCATTTTTTTTTTAAGAGTACTCGCCATTACTGGTTAACTCCATTGGCTCGTCGCATTGGACAAATATGCCAGAGAGTCCAGAGTCCCTTGGCGATAAAAAAGTAAGTCGCCAGCATCACCCGGATTTTTATACAGGTTTACTCCTGCTGGGAATCGAACCTCAGCATCGGTGCTACGAATAAACCCACAACAACCCACTGAGCCATTCTGTCCCATAATGACGAGGGTTTCAGGATAAATTTTGTGAATTTTTTAATTTGGAAAATTCTTCAGACGTACAATTTTTCAGTGCCTGTTCGAAGGGCGACTGTGATCCTTTGGTTGGTTTGAGTAATGTTTGCAGCTGTGAACATTTTGGATTCACCACGCCCTCATGGGAAATGCTGTAAAGCACAAGTAATGTACTTATATGTATTTAAAGGTAAAATAAAATAACATAACTAGCAAATAACTAGCAATCATTTCTGATTAGGTAACAGGCTTACTCATATCGAGCACAGGAACCGATCTCTTGTCTTCAGCACTATAGACGATTGTCTATTTATCCATTTATCTAGTTGGGAGAAAAAGATAATTCATTCGAAGATTTAAGAAAATTCCTCCAAAGAAGATCTTTTGCATTTCTTAGTGAACAAAAGTAAGAAAATAAAAAAAAGTTAAACAAATTAGGAGCATTTATCAAGATTTTTATCAAAACCTTTTATTGCATAGGAAAAAATCGAGATTTTCAAATAATTCCAGTAAATGCTTACTAATTTGAAAAAATTATTATTATTATAACTGGCGGTGTTGATATTGACTTTTGCAAAATGATGGAAAAATATTTGTACACTTTTTAAACTTACTCTGATTGCATCTTTGCCAGAGGCACATCTGTGGGCTGAGCGCCTGTAATTTCATGAATTACATTTTATGGTTCCTAATATTTATTTTAAAAATTTAGAAATTAATAAAAGTAGAAAAACCAATAAACTACTTTTGTTTCAAAAATATTTAATAAAAACATATAATAAAACAAACCAAGTGGGACCCGATTAGGAGACAGAATAGTAGTGCTATCAGTTGGAAGAGAAACGTGATTGTCAGTGCTAGCAAAAGGGTCAGTTATTTCTGATATTTCATCAATGGTTCTTGATAATCTAGAAAGATACTTTAAAAAAATATTTCGACTTATATGAGGTTTTATGATGTGATGTTTCCATCTCGAAGCCACATTAAATTCTTCAATCTTCATTCTTCAATCAACTTTATTGATAATTTCATATTTGCCTTATGGCCAAGAAAAGATGTTGATCAAAAAACAACACCTTGTCGTTATCAGTGAAGGATCAAATTGTTGTCCTGATTCAGAAAATTTATCAATTACGACAGGTGAAATCCTTAGATTATTCTGTTCTGTCCCAGGATCATCTATAATTTTCGACATAATCTTCGACATAAATCATACTAGATTAATTTGTTGACTGATTTTTATAATCGAGAAATTTAATTCGATCGCTAAAAAAATAAATATGAATTTTCAGGCATGAAACCTCTTAACAACGATTCCTTATGAGCGAAATTATCTATAAGCGAAGTTCCAAAAGCAGATTGAAGTGTTGGCTGCTCAGTTAACGTTTTGTCATTTTTATTCGTTTGTTCTGAGAATTCAGTTGCGACAGACGGCATTGTTATAGCCAAGGAAGGGTAAAGGATGATATCTTTTGGAAGATGGCTTGTAGTTTGTAATTCACTAAATAAAACGAATATAAGGAACAGTTCTTAAACCAGTTTTTTTCTTTAGAAGGCTACGATTTAAATAAGTAAGATGAATGAGCGATATGTTACCAAGGTTAAACCATCATTAAACCATCAAAGTTCGATTCCTATCTTTTGAAAGGAGTAATCCCGTCATTAAAAGTAAAGTCAGTTGTATCAACTTGATTCACTTGAATTTTATCTTCTCATTTTAATAATTAGTGGAGCTAGATGAAATTAAAATGATGATAGTATTCGATGAAGAAGAAATAGAAACCGGTAATTTTAAATCCTCCACATTAATTTTTATTTTTTGTTATAATAAATAATTTATTTATAATTCAGCAAGAAATAAATTATAAGTCGGAAGCACAGTGATTATTGCACTGAGTTAAGGACCCCTTGCCTCCTTCCTATAGGAGAACGACTCATTTAGATATCCGAATGGAGCTGGCTGCTCCCATAATTCTATCTTGCAAAAATTTCTGATTGCAAAACTAGCCTAATCAGTTCCACCATTATTTTTTACATGCTTAATTAATTTCTTCATGCAGATAATGAATCACATCAGACAGATCAGATAAATTAGTAATCTATGAATATATCTTTGTTTTAATGGGGCGAATATATGAAATCTGGTCATCCAATCCATTTGTGAAATGCAATCATGAGCAATTAAATTATTTATTATTTACTCAATAAACTTAATTACAAATATCCGAAAATTTTTCATTTTTTACCAATAGGATTTTTAAAGCAATCTGCTCAAATTTATTTAGAATTTATTGAAATAACCTCACCTGTATAAATTATGTGGCGAAAAGAGTTGTTTATTGCTCGAAGATCCTGGTGATTTCGACAATTTGTCTCTCGAGTCTACATGATATATGTTATTTTTTATTATTAATAAATAATTAACAACGAGGGAAAATTTAGTTTTAATAATTCCATTCGGTTTAGCACATTTGAGCTGATGTGATAAATTTAATAATTAACTTTGAGCTCATTTCATTAGTCAAAGGTTAAATTGAAGTTACTTGTTAGAACAAATCTTTGTCCATCATCATCAGATTTTTCCAGTCTTTGCAAACTACCCTTCAGTTTCTCTAGTATTTGATCATATTTTCTGAAAGGATTTTAAACAATAATCTATTAATAAAAAATTTTTATCTTATATTAATAATATTTTTAATTTAATAATTAATAATTAATATTTAATAATTAATTTAATAATTAAAATGATCCAAAAATAAATTTTCTACAAACATTTCGTCATCAAAGAGAGTTAAGTGGTTGTTGATGGCCATTTTAAGCATTACCATGGTTCGGCCAATGGTCTCGGTAAGCTTGTCACTAAATCTTGGGGGTAGTGCGACTACAATTGTAGCTTGCCCTCTATGTGACTCCATGGTAAAATTGTTTTATATATTAGTTAGTGGAGCGAGTAAAAAATGCTGAGTGATAATGTTTATTTACTCTTCAGAAAATCATAGATTCTGAAACTAGACGCAGATATATATTAATAATGAAACTATAAAGTGAGACTATAATGAACGTGCCATTATATACAACTTGTCGAAGAAACTTGGGCGTATCCATTAATTATTATTATGGTACTATCCTAATAATCAGTGGAGCCAGCCAAACTCAAAAAAATCCCCGAAGGTTTTTTTGATTTTCTTTTTTTTCTTTCTTGAAGCACTGCTCTTATTGAATATCAGATGAATCAGATGAATTCAGGAATAAAGTAAACCTTGCTGAGTCCGATTTGACATTCGAATGAAAAGGATTGAGCTCGCTGCTTATTTTGTAGTAGTGAGTAACTAAAATTTCGCAATTAATTCGGCAAAAAATGAAAAGAACAAATTGGAAAGGAAATTCGAAAAAAAGGAACAGTATGCCTGTGTTTCAATAATCTAAGCGATTCCTTAATATCATTATTCTCGTTCTGATTTTAATTACTTATATTCGGTATTCTCATTTTTCTTCTCCATTAAGAAAATCCTTTCAAGTAATGCTGTGAACCCTCCTGTATGTCTATCCGCACATAACTCTCTGGTACTTTGTGACGATAGGCTGTTTTCCTAGCAAATAAGCAAGTAAACATTAGTTTGTAAAGCTGTTTTGGGCTGAACAAGATAATAATAACGAAAGTTAGATGCCATTATGAAAAACTAATGGAGCTCAAAAATGAAATAAAACTTACTTATACTTTCAAAATCCTTATCAATTCTATATGGGACAATTCCACCCAACCATATAACTTTAGGCAAATTTAATTCACCATTTGAATATTGCACGAAGCTTACTATCAGCAAAATTGGAAAAAAAGGTATTTCAGATAGCATTTCTGCAAAAAATCACATTCAAATCGGCCAACGAAATTAAAAAAAAGTTCAAAAATCTCTAAAAATAATTTTTAAAAAATTTTAGCATGCCAATCAATAGAGAAGAAGATACTGAAAATTATTATTCAAAATCTATGATGTTTTTGGATTTTTTAAGCAATGCCTCATATTCTATGATTATCATTGATTATCACTGATGGCTTTAATCAGCTCGAAACCTCATATTCAAAGGCAACAAAATTGTAAAAAACACAACTTTGCGCAATTATCTAATAAAAGTCAGAAATGGAAGAGAGCTTGAATAAGACGAATTACTATTCGCCTCGCCTATCCTTCCGATTATTCGATATTACATTTACCCGAGTCAAATTACAATATTGCTCTCAATCACATTTCTGGAATTCTCGAAACTTGGAATGAGACGATTAGTAAATAGAACATCTCAAAAGAATTTGGGCTATGTTACAATATTAGGCAATTCACTATCTCAATTTATATCACAGTTGCAAGCATTAATGGAAACTAGCAAAAATTATTAAAGTTATTAATGTTAAAATGAAAATAAAAATTGGGTTATTTTGAAGAATTTAGCAAAGATCGACGTAATTTTTAAGATGAGTTGTCGAGATAGACGGCCGAATGTAGAAACACAAGCATTTGATTGCCTTATATATACGATTATCACTGTGATGAGCAAATTAAATGTTCATTATTGTTGAAGAGATTTATGAAGTAGAAATTGCGATAACAATAAAATCGAAAGTGCCCTGGAGCAATGTCAGCTTTTTGCAAGTCCGTAACCGGAACAGTTGATAAACACAAACTGGATTTGACAGCGTCATACATTTTCTAATATTATTATCCAAACTGCTACTTTGATAATCTAATTATCGCCGTAAAGATCGACTTGTTCTAATGGCAGTCGCGCTAAGACATTGATATTTCTTTATTCATTTAGGACGACGGCTATGACCTATTAGATGTCTATGTGACCTATTTTAGCTATGTTAGGTCATATCTCTTTTATTTTGATCAAATATGTTAAATGCATTCCTATGCAAACAAAAAAGACTTTGCAATTACATGGATAAAGCAGATATCACAACATTATGATGAAATTATGATAAAAATGATAAAATAGTGATAAAATGATAATATATATATACAATATACAGTATTAAATGACAAAAAGAATGAAATTTTGAAATTTTTCACAAAATCGGTTATCTCATGTTTAGAAAAAAATTAATAAAAATGTTAAAAAAATTTGAAGGAAATAAATTGCAAAAAATTTTTTTTATATTATTATTTCATTTAGATGGCAGCTCCAATGAAAAGACGGGAATCGAAGCCATGTTGGTTGACACGAATTCAGCCTTCCTTCCATTCTAGCTTGGCTTTAAACTTTTTTTCTTTTAACTTTTCAGATGGGAAATGAAATAAAATAAAGTAGCAATATGTTTAAAAAAACCATACGAGCTAAATAATTGACACTAAACATTTATTGAATTAGTTGCCATCGTCATGAATTAGCAATGTCGTCTAATCACAATGGTCAAGCATTATGGATTCGGTTCGTGGGAATTTATATCTGTTACTGAAATTGAAATGCGTATGCGTATAGAGGACTCACTTATATTTCCATCCGCAAATGGCTCTTTGGTCAGTGCAGCAAGTCAAATAGGAACTTGGTGACTACAGCTAGAAAGAGAAAGAGTTGATTTCCTCAATATCTCACATCAGCTGACTGTATTTAGGAAGATTAACCATCGATTTTTCGCTTTAAATTTAGGCGTTTTAAAAGAAAAATAGTCAAATCGCGAGTGATTCGCGGAAACGGAAATATTTCATCGAAAGTGAAAGCTAAAAATTCATGTTTTGTTTCTTGCACGCTTTTATGCCACTTTCCTTTTTAATAAGAATTACGCGTTTATTATCGACCAAATTATCAGTTTAACTGAATGAAAATCGAAACAAGTTTTTCTAGATCAAGTTCATTACTAAAGATTCCTTAGGGAAAGAATCAGCCATTACGATTTTTTTCACCTATTTAATGCATCATTACGGAAAATTACAATAAAGATTGTCAGTGCGGTGAACGTGATTCTCAAGATTACATCCATTACTTTGCTAGTGATAATAAATCTATAAATTACTATATCATCCTCTTTTCTTAATTTTTTCTTATATGTTTTTTCAGTTCGTTTTATCAAGAACTGAGAAAAAAATTAGTAGTATGCTAGCCTAACTTTTTTCTATTCAGATTTTTCAAAATTTGGTTGGATTGGAAATTTTCGAGCTAGGGAAACAGACAAGCGGTATGTTGCTTTGAATAAGGTTTAATCATTCGATGGCTGATGCATAATATTTATATCCTTGTTTGAAGTAAATTTGATAAAAGCAAAAGGCGGTTGGTACTAGAGACCTATCTGATCCTGGGCTTTTCAAGAAATTCATTGAAAGATTGCAACTATTAATAATTAGTGGAGTCAGCCAATGGGTAATATCGATCTGATTGTTAACCACCGCCGATTTCGAATTTCTCTGAGCCAGTGTTTAGTAAACAGTTGGCTACATCACTTCTTATCAATTCTGATTTTTTCAATATCTCTTTTTAAAGTTCAATTATCAACGATTTGACAACGATTGAACGATAAATCTCCTTCTTTTTGAAATCATTTAAATCAATTCGAGGGACGCCATCACTTGCTTGTTAAATGATTGATTATATTGGTTTTTATTGATTAAAAGTTAGCAGTTAATCGGTTGGATTAGATTAAAATAGTTTCCAAAATATATAATACTGATGGTGGTCGATGAATTGAAAGTTTGGTTCCATCCCTTCAACGATAAGCTCAGCATTGAAATTTTAGCGCCTCATAATAGCGCTTTGATCTGCTTATAATTCTATTTTCAATGAATTGAACCAGAAATCCAGTAAACAATAAAGATAAATCAGGAATGATGTTGTTAGATGTTATAAATAATTAGTGGCTATTTATAAAATCTTTTTTTCTGGAAATGGTTAAGCGATTTGGAAAATAATATCGTGGAAGCAAATTGAAATTTAGTTGAGACATTTAAATATAGTTAAAACTTGAGAAGTCGAATTAATTTCTTAATTCTTACTGATGAGAAATGACTTCGATCAGTGAGCTAAACTCAAAAAGCTTTTTCTCATGGTTCCTTTTAAGATTTTATTCGTATAATTAATTTTATTTAGATTAATATTTCCTGTATTTTCATTAATTATGTGCGTTTTTCTAGTATAAATAGGCATAGAAGACTTTTCGCTTTCAAAATCGCTTTCAAAATAGAATCATAGAAAATCCCAATTTCCAATTTTCATCGTCAATATATCAGTATCATTATCATTTGGTAAAATGATCAGTTTTAAAGAAGTATATTCAAGATCACAGCCATATCTGATATACATTTAATAGAGATAAAGCAATAAATTATTATGCCAACAGATACTGTTAAAACTGGCTTGGCGAAAACGTTATAAATTTCGCATTTCACCAAATCGTTTTCGAAATTTACACTTGAGATATCGAATTTTATGTACTTTATCTATATTTCATTATGATAAACATTCTTCTAATGGTTTAAAGACAGCAAAAATAGAACAAATGACCTTCTTCCGGATATTAAATCGGCTTCTGATCGCTGTTTAGAATTAGTTTTAAAAATAATCCTCTTGCGCACATTAGCCTTAATTCTTACTTTTTATGCGCTAAAAAGAATTTGCACTCGTTAAGGCCGATGGCACTTAAGGCTGAGTGAATTGGCAAGTAAAAAAGAGAATAACAAAATAAATGAATCAATTTGCCTTTTCATCGCCAGGAAGCTAAGATCATTCGCTAAATTGCAAATATCGAAAAATAATTGTAAATTTAATTGGCTAAGTAGAATGGTCTGTTACAATAAATTTTACTGCATGATAGAAATTGACAAATTGATATATATCTTTACCTGAGTATAAATTAACAAAGAATTATGGATGAATGCATTAACTGTGCTGAAGACCTACTTGCGTGTTCAAGTATCTTTCGAAAGGACTTCTTCCATGCAATCTGATAGGCCAAATACGACTGCTAATACACTATGTAAGAGTTTTATAAATATATTATAAATATGTTTTATAAATATATGATATATAATGTCAAAATATAATATCAAATCAAATTTCTAAGAACCAAGAAATATTATAAGAGGAATTGAACTCCAGTAAACTCATTTATTCTAAATAGTAATCAATTTATTTTTTAATCGGCTAAATTGAGAAATTTATGAATAAGAAGGATTCTGATTTATGAATAAAATGATTTCGATTTGCAACATTTTAATCAGAATTGCCATTAATTGATAAGATATGATAAAACGAAGTCGATTTCCTTTTAAAACCTGAAAAAAATGTTAGAATAAAACAAAATTATATTATTACCCATCTTTCAAAATTTGCGATAATATTTTCCATTAAATAAAGTTATCCCACTGCAGCGATTGTTGAACGGTTATTGGCAATTATATGATATATGACTATAAAATATTCTGATAACTAATCGTTCAAAAGCCTTATTTTAACGAAAATATTTTTTGGCAGGCTCATTCTTCTGGATCCTCATTCAGAAAAGCCCGCAGTTTTCATTTTTATTTTATTTCATATTTTTATTTTATATTTTATAATAGCAACAGCTATTTTAGTCATTACAAAAAATTAAATATTCATATTAAGTTGTTGCATTAAAAAGCCTTTATATGTTTTATTTATAGAAACAGAAGTAATGATGGTGCTTTCTTTAGCGCTTGAAGGCAAATATTTCTTAGGAAAAAATATGCCTCTTTTTTCATTAATTCTTTAATGACTGCCATCAGAAATTGCAAAAGCCAAAGGTTATTAAGAGATACTAATATTCGCTAAGTATATCCATATTTTAGCCAGAATCTACCGATCATTAGAAGAGAAACCTGTCTTTATGTGATTATCTGGCAAAAGGATCAAATGCCTCGTCTTAGTCTCATCTTAGGCGGTAAATCCAATTATGTCAGGAATAAAGGTTGCTTTTCGGCAAAGCAAAAGAAAAATTTTTAACTATGGATCATTATGCAAAATTCAAAATTGTCTCGATGTATCATTATATGCTGTATTTCCTTTGGAACTACAAACTTATGAACAAATTTGATTTATCATTTACTGATTAACAAACAAATGCAAAATCGAGTATTTTTCCCCAGGAAATTGGGAATATTTACAATGAATTTCAGTACAAAAAGTTCGAATTGAATTCAAAACAATGGTGCATTTTGTTTCATAAATTAATGGCATAATGGCAAATTAATGTCTCTTCGCTCATGCAAATGATTTCCATTAATTTAAAAAAAGGCTCTCGAGAATTTTCAGTCTTCAACTAATTCGATAAATTGGTATTCCTTATTATTTGCACATCGTAATAAATCTGAAATGGTACCCCAATCTTTAATATTAATTGGCCGAACTTTTTCATTTCGTATAGAATTCTTGCCCATAAAACCTTCTAGCAAATATTTCGCATCATACAAATGTCTTCGAAAATCATTGCTTTCATTGATAAGAGCTTGAATCCGATCTGCTAGTATTGTAAAACTCGAACTTAACGCTATATTCCAGTCTTCAGCAGCTATAATTTTATAATTTTATTTTTTTGAACACATGATTGCTCTTACTTAGTTTTCTTTAGCAGAATTTAGAATAATAATTATTTGAAAGGGTTATAAGTCAGAGAGTGATAACGAAATATGATATGACATAGTTGGATTCCTCAAAATATAGGGGCAGATCGAGCGATATTTGACTGTGTTCAGACTATCGTAGGTTACTGCTACTTGGTTAAATAAATCTATCGTTAAAAATTAAAAAAATTTTAGTATATTTCTATATTCAAATGACTCTGGAAGAAATCTCTCTTTTGCTCGTATAGCGAATCAAGTAAGGAAAATAAATAAATTGCGACTACCCTTAGACAGGGTGCGTGCTTAGAGTGCATATATGTATGAATACAAATCATATACCATCTTTCATTGCCCTAACAAGTAATGATCGGCCTTCAGGTCGAAATACTTCTCGAATGGTTTTGCAATTTCCCGATTTCATCACGGATGAAGTAGTTGTTGCTGTTGTTTGATCCAAAATCCTCTTTGAATCCAGTTTCATAAAACTCAAAATTTTTTGTTCTATCAGCCTAAAAATTATAAGTTTTAATAAAAATATGTGCCTTCTCGAGATGATCCATATTCCTGTTCCCACACAAAAGTAAATCTTTCTAAAGTAAAATCTGGAAGGTTATTTGGAACCGAATTATACATCTCCACTCCGCTTTTTTAAATGCAAAATTATTCCGGAAAATTTTCATCATTATAATAATCTCAACATCGTTAACTTTTTTTGCAAATTTCTCCAAATATAAAAATAAATACGATTTGTTAAAATCAACTTTTTTGAACGAAAAACTTGACTGACGGACATTTTTACCTATGGTAATGAAATACTTATTTTTGCTTTGCTTTTATTTTTTGCAAAAAATTTTCCTTGATGCAACTTTAAAGCTCAAAATTTTTATTTAATTTCAAAATAATTGATTCGCTTTTAAAAAATGGCAGCAAAGAATTTTACTGGTTGATATTTTGGTCTTTGGAACGATCTTTTAAATTAAAAAATAATTAAGATAATAGAGAGTTCTAATAATAAATTAATTTTTAAGAATATTGTAAGACACTTACTGATCTAAGCCAATGCGCTTGCTTGTAATTTCATCCTGCGGTGAGTCAAGAGAAAAATCGACCCTTTTATTTTCGTCAAAATCTTTTCTGAAAAATCTTATTGGTTTTAATTTTTAGGTTAAATCGCTTAATTACTTATTTACTTCGGATTACTCGGTGTTAATAAAAAAAACAACTACAAATTTAGCACACAATTTAGTGGATCTGCAGGCGATATGTCTCGACTGAGTTAAGACATCATAGGCTCGCTTAGTATCTCTCGACAGGGAATAAATCTGTCATTAAGAGTGAAATGCTGGTGTCACTGATTCATCAATTCTTCTATCCCTAATGATTCTCTGATTCTGACGAAAGGGCTAAGAGCTGCCAACCAACCAAAATTCATGTATGCTGTCGGTTTAAGAAAATTTTGAAAAAAGAACGCTGCAAATTCGAATATTTTAAAAAAACAAATTAATATAATTCATTCATTTTGCTATAAAAAATAAAAAAAAAACTTTCGAATGACCATTTAAATGAACCAATTTGATATCGATAAGCGTAATCAAAGAATTTCTTCGAAACGATAGCAAAACAATCACAAAAAATGCAAAATTTACTTGAATAACAATGATTTCAGTATTTCATCCACCTTTTTTGCGATATTTTTAACCAACGATGAATCGGGGTGAAAAATTTGTTCAATTTTCCGATCGATTAGCCTGAAATGCTGCGCATTTCTTAGAAAGGAAAAAAGGTGTTCACTCAATGATTTGTCGCACTATGAAAGCGCCTCAGCATATAAGAGCGTAAAGTAAACTAAAAAAACACTAAATGTGACAGACCGATTGATATCTGACACAGTCAACTGGCGTTCCATAGAATTACTGTTCTCATTTCTTTCCGTAGATGACAAGAAATTACCATCGATATTTTTCTCATTATCTATAAATTATTATTTATAAAATAATTTACATACTTCAAGGACTATTAACTGTTGTATTAAAATAATTATATCCGTCTTTAACAGGTGTAAACTTGCCATCAAAAATCCGGATGTTTGCTGGGGATCCACCTGTAACTCTACACCAAAGTGACGACAGATATTTTTGATGCAATGTCTGCGTTATACGACACGCATAATACTCTCAGCCCCGTGGTACATTCGATAAGTATCCAATCCGGGCATAATCTCAGCTGATAAAAAAAATGTGTTCTCAAGCCAAGGGTAATTGCTCAAAACCTATCAAGAAGGGGAACAGCCCTCTGCACGCGCGGCGAGGTATTAGCCGTATCAGCGTGGAACGTTAGAACGCTTATGGACGTTACAAGCCAAGCGATCACTGTCCACACCCTGTCTAAGTATCGTGTGGATATCTCTTGCTTGTCAGAGGTCCGTCTTCCTCACTTTGGGTCTCGAGAAGTTATTAATCCTGGTTCAGAGTAGAGATACTGGCTATATCACTGTGATGCTTTGAATAACTCGGGAAGAAATGGCATAGCGATTTTCATGTCTAATAAGGCCTATTCCGTTTTGATTGAGTGGAAACCGGTAAGCGAGCATATGACCTATGCCCGCTTTAAAGGTAACTTCTGCAATATCTTGGTCATCAACGTTCATACTCCAACTTTATCTGCTGTGATATGTAATTTCTACGCGGAACTTCAGTTATTAAAAAAGTTTCTGCCGAAATATGGCATGGTCATACTCGGGAGAGAATGGAATGCGTAGATCATAATGTTTCTGTGATGACTTCGACGATTGGCAAACATGGCATGGGAAACTGGCACTCCAGTGGGGAACGTCTTCTTCGCTATGCCGAAGAGAATGAACTTTTTGTTATTGCTTTTTGTTATTAATATATATTTCGGGCATCACAGAGAACATCTAGTCACATAGAACTCCTCGGATAATTAAGACTTCAACCAGATTGATTATATCCTAGTCAGTCGACTTTAAAAGGGTTCTTACTAGATAATCGTTCCTAAAGAAATGGGCAATCTTCATGGATCTGAACATATTATGGTTCGAGCGAACATCCGCATAAAATTGACAAATCGCAAAAAAAAGCATCCCCCAAGATCCTTCAACTATCTCAAACTAAAAAATTCGAGGACAATGGACGCGTTTCAAACCGAAGCATCTCAGCATCTCAGTGAATACTGGTCCAAACTAAAGGAAAATCCCCGAAAACACTTCCACGCTAGGGCATACTAGTTGGATATAGGAAGCAACTCTTCGACTGTCTAAAAACGCTGCTAAAGCAATAGAATCTTAAATATGCTTCAAAGAATCGCAACGACAGCAGGAATCCCTATTGGAGTGATAGGGCCTTGAGAATGGAGATGGCTGCTCGATTATGCGATAATAAGAAATTATTCCTCCTTCTTTATAAGCAACTATAACTCGAGGAACGACCAGTGAAATGGTAAGGGATCGTAAGGGACAACAATGGCGTGTCAGTCAAAAATATTAAGGACCGCCTCATAAAATGGAAAGAATTCTTTGAGGTCAAGCTTAACCCCATGAAGCACCATATGTTGCACCTGATATAGGTGATACGTTCGCTGAACGATATGCTTGCTATTAGCGAGCCCCGACAGAAGAAGAAGTAATTTCAGTTATCCATAAGCTTAAGGCCAACAAAACTCCAGGAGAAGATGGTCTTTGGGTCTGAGCTTTTCAAATGCTGTCCATTGTCCTTCATAACGCACCTTCAACAAATATACTTTTTAGTATGGAGAAAAGAAATATTACCAGATGATTGGAGCAAAGCAATTTTGCTCCCAATTCAAGAAATGTGATGGGACATACTGCGACAATTATCGAGGCATTAGCTTACTAGACGTCTCAGCAAAAATTTTTGCTTCCCTGCTACTCATCAGACTTATGGAAGGAAATACTGGACAGCAGGATGCGCCCTAATCAAGCTGGTTTCAGGCCAGGGCAAGGTTGTGCTGACCAGATGTTCATGTTAAGAAGAATGTTGGAACATCGCTTCTATTTGCAACCCACTGTCACGTGTTTCATCGACTTTGCGCCTTTGATTCAATTGATAGAGCGGCGCTTTGGAGGGTGATGGAATGCGACGGTGTTCCAGAGAAAATCATTCGACTCATAGAGGCATTTTATGAGCGTACGTCTGCGTATATAGGGAACTGACAGAATCCTTCAAAATAAGAACTGGTGTCCGTCAAGGTCCTGCGTCCTTTCTCCTACAATATTCAACTGTGCGATAGACTGGGTAATGGACACCGCTTCAAGGAGGGTCCAAATCAGTCCACAGCATAGTCCACAGCATCACAGATTTTGAACACGCTGATGATTTAGTCGTTTTTGCTGACAGTTATGATGAATTGCAAGTAATGCTCAATAACGTGTCAGAAACTGCAGGAAGAATCGGACTCAGGGTCAATGTAAATAAAACAAATGATTTTTCGTCTTATGTGCAAGAAGCTGATAAAATGCCTCTTTTTGTAAATTCATTGCCGGCTGAGTCCGAGAGCGATCCAGCTATGTTCAAAAAATGGCGTATTGTGGTTAAGCTTGGCCTCAAGGAAATCCTTCCGCCTTATGAGGGAACCCTTAATAGTCTTAACAGACCATTATTATCCCGTATCATTTCAACTAACCGTTGCCGGAGTTATGGTGATTTTATGAAGAAGATAGAATATTTTGGTAGCATTCTTAGATAGTTGGACAGCTGCTTCCTATAACTTCATGCTAGCGTGGGAAGTGCTCATTCGGAGACATGTCTTTAGCTGGGACCAGTATTCATCCGTCGTTCCAAAGATGTTATTAACGTAAATCGATTTGAAATATGCTTATTCTCCTTGGTTCCTTTAATTTGAGATAGTTGAAGGGTCTTGAGATACGCCGTTTCTTACGACTTGTGAGTTTTATGCGAATCTTGATTCGAACAATAACGTAGTCTGATCCTTGATGGTTACCAGTTTCAACGCCCCGATAAGAACAATTATTAAGTATAGAATTTTTTCAGCTGCGACCGACCAAGAGTCTGATTAGAATATTGGTTATACGGGAAATATTAGAATATTTTCACGTGACTAGATGTTTTCTACAATGCCCGAAGCAAGTATTAATAACAAAAAGTTTACATTCTTAGGCATAACGAAGAAGGCGTTTTCCATTGGAGCACCGGACCTCCATATCATATTTGCCAATTGCCATCGCAGCGGCATTATGAATCTACGCGCGCATTCCACTCTCCCCCCGATTATGGCCATGTTATATTGTCTTTATTAGTAGTTGAAGTTCCGCATAGAACTTATCTTTATCTCTGCAAACAAAATTGCAGCCAAGATATTGGAGAATTTTCCTTTAAAGCTGCTATAAGCCATACAATCGTTTCCATTTAATCAAAGCGGAATGGGTCTTTTCAGGCAGACAACGCTACGCCATTTCGCCGCTAGTTATTCGAAACATCATAATGATATAATATTCTACTTGGAGCCAGGCTTATCTATTACTTGAGACCCGAAGTGAGATTTTCGACAAGCAGCGACATCCACACTATATTTAGAAAGGTTGTGGGCAATGATCGCTTGGCTTGCAACGTCTATAAGTGTTTTGGTGTTCCACTCTGCTATACTGACATCATCTTGCCGCGCGTACTGTTCCCCTTGATAGGTTTTCAGTAATTCTGCGAGAACTTTATTTATAAGCCTTTTTATGCTCGGATTGTATAGTTATCGTATGCACCACAGGGATGGGAATATCATGCGTGTCGGAGGATTTCTATCAAGAGCCCCTTTCACCACAGAATCAGTTAGAGATGGAGTTACGGGTGGGCCTACTTCAATCACCCGGATTTGATATGATGGATTTAATCGAAGACAAGAATAAAGTGGAAAAATTAAAAAATTACAAATTAAAATGATAATTCAAGAAAAAAAAAAAATTCACGTTCGAAATGTCTAAAAAGAAGTAATCAACAATTATCATATCTTAGCAGAGCAGTTGGAAGAACCGACACCTTATAGAACGATATGGATATAACGATATATCCATCAATACATGCTTTTAGTTTCATCTTATCAATGTTTTTAGTGCAGAAGATATTGCCGAATTAGGCCAGAAATTTGCTATGTTTTTCGAATTTTTAAATTGAAAAGGATATTGGAACATACTATTTCAACTATCGCGGCATACGTTAGCACAGATATGTGCGTTTGGAGAATTGGCACAATCTTTTGGAACATGAGATCGATGGTATATGTCAAAATTCTACAGTTCCCTTCTACAGTTTTCAACTATGGTAGAATGGGTTATGGACTTTGCTTTCTGGCATCCAAGAGGTATGCAAATCAGTATCTCTTTAAATAAATTTGAAAAAAACTGACTGTCCTGATTTACTGAAAAATTGCAACAAGCGCTATAGCGCGTGCCGATATGAAAATAAAATCAACATTCAAATCAATGTATACAAGACGAAACTCTCTTCATCTTAATGTATTTGACGTTGATAGGATCATATTATTTATAAATTCATCAATGATCGAAGTATCAGATTTTAAATCTCAGATCTCCTTTCATATCTAATAGCCAAATTGAAATCACAGCTCTGATGGCTGCAGCTCTTCTTTCATATACGGCTGTGAAATGTGTTCAATGAGCGTGGAAGGATATCGAGAAACTATTTGCCTATTACCATTCTTGCCTAAAATAGAGTTTCATACGATTGTTCAAATCTTCGCTTGAATGATGCAATAATATTTGCATTATTGAATATGGTCACGTCGTCTATGCTGGTTTTGCCGTGTTCACCACACAGTAACATCCACAGTAACAGTACACACAATTCGCTCCTTGCTTAGCAAACTCTATGATGGATGGGATCAAGAGCGTGGATCAATCAAAACCTGGACCGAGAAGGTAAGGGACTGCATAGGTGCTCCAGTGTTATACGGACTTAGGCCATAAAAAAGAAGTAAATAAAAAAGAAGTAAAAGGAGTAAAGAAGAACTAAAGAAGTAAGTAAAAGAACTTTTTTCATTTTCAAGATTGGCATTGGATTGGGAGGATTTGAAAAATCTTGCCCTAGTTGCCAGTGGAGCTAAATTAGCACGGCTACTAGAGGAAGAATTTGCGGGAAATATTTCAAAATACCCTCCGAAAAATATTTTAAGATTTGGCAAGATTTTTTCCATTCGCTATGGTCATAATCA